AAGCTGTCATTATGTTAAAGCATGTAACGACATGAAAGGTTAATCAGCCCGCAAGTGTGTAAGGATTACTACTGTGGTGGGTTCGCAGGATTCCATAACCCACAAAGACATGGAGGCTTTACCCCCTAGAAAGGATCCAACCACCCCAAAAATGGGAGGACAAACTGAACTGACCCCAGAAGTAGGCTCAGAGAGGAACCCATAAAACAACAATCTAATTTCACAGATGATGCAGGACAAGGAGTTTGGAGTCAGATAAATATGCCCTGCAAGGGTCTAAGGTCTCACAGGAACTTCATGCACAGAGTTCAGCCTGTTTAGGAGAAGAAAAGGACAAGCAGCACAGGAGGTTCTCAAGAGAGAGGCTATGTTTTGGATAAAATTAAGTCCTTTTCATATAATGAAGACATTACATGGTGTAGAACATCACCACTTTCAGCAACCAATAGATACTGTCATTTCCAGTTTTTCCACATGGGGAAGCCAATAGGACATGATTTTGTTTGTTTTCTGGGTTTCATTACAGTTCCTTGATTTTACAATTAGGATGTGTCCTGTTTCTAGGTACCCAGCTGTACTTCAAAGATGCTAGCTGCACTTTTCAAGGATGCTTCTTGTTCCCAGGCCTAGTTCCTGGGATTACAGCTCCCAGGCTGGCAGAAAATTTCTCTGTAAGTATGTCAGCAGGCATCTTCTTCTCCTCAGTTATTTTCCTTCTAACAAGATTGCCTTTTGTCATGGTTTAAACCCGGTCAGGCAACTTGTTCGCTCACTCCCAGTGAGTGGTGCTGGGCTGACAGCAATCGTGGCCCCCCCCCCCCCCCCCCCCCCCACTGGGGCTCTCCCCTTCCCCACTCCTGGAGGAGCGGGGACAAGGATCAAAAGAGTACAGCTCCTGCGGGTTGAGACAAGAACAGTCCAGCAACCAATGTACAACACAAATCACCACCCCTACTACCAACTACAACAATGATAAGAGAAAATAACAAGGGAAGAGAATACGATACCACCGGCCAAGAAACGAGTCCCACCCGGAAGCCCGTGTCCTTCTGGGTAACTCCCAGTTCCCCCCCACCCCGGGCATAAGGCGCTGTGGTATGGAATACCTCTTTGGCTAGCCTGGGTCAGGCGCCCTGTCTCTGAACATGACTGCTACTGCTGAACCCAGGACACCTTTCTTGGCTGCACACCTCAGAGGCAGAGAGGGAAAGGAGGCGAAATTTCAAGATCCACATTATCTTATCTACGTTATAGAGCTATCTTACCTTTCTGTAAGTCTCTCAATCCAGATAGCATTTTTAACTCATGACATGGGAAAGAATTAAGTAACAACTACTTCACAAAACATGTAAGGATGAATCTGGACTCAATGCACCATCGGGTTTGAATGCTCTTACAAGTATGGAAGGGCTTAAAATGTCATCGTAACTATAAGATTGTTCAGTAGTTAACCGTATTGAAATTATGATGGAATGAGAAGGTTTTGCTGAGTTTCGGTGTTTTTTGTTTGGTTGTTTTTTGGTTTATTGTTGTTGTTATCTCAGGATTTTTCCTGAAGTGATCAGAATAAAAATAAGGTAGGAGGGCTGGGTTGTGCACAGCATAATACTAGACCTTGTAAGTGCGTATAACCGTAACAGTAAAAAAATACAAATGGGAAAAAGTGCCACAGGACCCACAGTTTTGCATTACTGAAAGTGGCCCTGTATAGTTGCCAGTAACTTCTCACTAAATAGGAGGAATATGGTATAGTTAAACAAACTGTCATAATGTTAAGAATGACATTTAGATTCTCGATGAAGCACTTGAAATCAATATATGCCAATATTCTACTTTCTGTAAACTTTGAGTCAAAGAAATTTTGGCTTAAGAATGTGCTTATGTCTGAAATCTGCAATGTCATTTCCTCAAATGGAAATCCCAGGTTTTTAAAATGTGCCAGTTAAAAAGCATAGCCACTGCATGTTTTCTAAAAAGGGAAGACAGCAGAAGAGAATAGTTAGTGCTTAACTGTGTAGGTGTGACATCTTTTGACACATGTATTATCGCCGAGTCCTGTGACTAGTAACTGCAGTAGCATTTCTTTAAAAGACAAAACCACAATGACAAGAAATTCAATAGGTTATCACTGGTCAGTGGAAGGAGTCAGGCCTTTGCTCTCTAGAGGATGGTATGTGTTCAAAGAAAAGCAATTATGTCCACCCTGTAATGTAGCATTACAGTCAACACAATTAAGGGTGTTTCCCCCTACCCCCCACCCCGATATTACATGACAATTGTTTCTAATCATGAGCTAATTAGCTCATTTGCAGATCATACCAAGTTGGGTGGGAGAGTTGATCTGCTTGAGGTTAGGGAGTCTCTGTAGAAGGATCTGGAGAGGCTGGATCTGTGGGCCTACGCTGATTGCATGAGGTTCAACAAGGTGAAGTGCCAGGTCCCACACTTGGGTCGCAACAACCCCACGCAAAGCTACAGGTTTGAGGAAGAGTGGGTTTGGTGGCACCAAAGCTGCTTGGTGGAAAAAGGCCTGGAAGTTTTGGTTGACAACCAGCTGCACATGCAACAGCAGTGTGATCAGATGTCTAAGAAGGCCAACAGCATCCTGTCTTGTATCAGATATTTTGTGACCAGCAGGGATAGGGAAGTGACTATCCCTTTGTACTTAGCACTTGTGAGGCCGCATTTCAAACACTGTGTCCAGTTTTGGGTCCCTCACTGTTAGTAATTGGTGAAATTGTGTGTTGAAACAATAATACAAAGAGAAAAGATGATTATATTTGAAAATCTGCTAATCAGTAGAGGGTTTCTTTTGTATTAAGAACAAGTTGAAATTCTGCTATTGTGTATCTTAGTTAATTTATAACTAAATATTACAATGGTAGCTATAATGATAAGCAATTAACATAGCCATATCTGGGGAAGGGTATATGGGTGAATCCAGGGGAGTATTGTGAAACTCTACCGAAGCAGAACTCACGAAAGTACCAGGAGTAGTCAAGTGAAAATAAGAGAATGCTGGCGTCCACATAATGACTGGGACATGTCCAAGGAACAAAAAGTGAACAGGACAAGCTGAGGAAGACTTCTTACTTCATCCGAGGAAGACTCCTTACTTCATCAGAATGACCACCAGAGGGGGGCTGCGCAAGCGCAGAAGAGGCTGATGTCGTAATAGACTGATGTGGCAATCCTTGATGCATATGTATTAGTCAATGATGTAATCTGTGTTCAATATGTATTGGTGACTACATTTTTAGTGTATAAATTGCGAGCGCAATGTAACGGGTTTGAAGCCAGATTTGGGCGCGTGCCCCTGGTTTCCCAGCGCTGCAATAAAGCACCTCATATAACCATTCCGGTGGTTATGTGTCAGTTCTTACGCTAACATCACTACGACACAGACATTGAGGTGCTGGAGTGTCTGTAAAGAACAGCAACAAAGCTAGTGAAGGGCCTAGAGCACAAGTCTTACGAGAAGTGGCTGAAGAAACTGGGGTTGCTTAACCTGGAGAAAAAGGAGGCCCAAGGAGGCCCTTTATCACTCTCTACAACTATGTTGTCCTGGGTTCAGCAGCAGCAGTCATTTTTCTCCTTCTCAGTAGCTGGTGCAGTGCTGTGGCTTTGACTTTCTGCCTGGGAACAGAGCTTGCTAGCGTGGGAACAAACACATAACCACCAGAATGGTTATATGAGGTACTTTATTACAGCGCTGGGAAACCAGGGGTACGCACCCAAATCTGGTTCCAGCCTCGTCACATCGCGTTCGTAATTTATACACATTTAGCACGGATCACAACATTAGCTAATGTATATGCATTAAGGATTGCCACATCAGGAATGTTACGATATCAGCCTCTTCTACGATTGCGCAGCCCCCTCTGGTGGTCATCTGGTGGTCGTTCCAATGAAGTAAGGAGTCTTCCTCAGATGAAGTAAGAAGTCTTCCTCAGGTTGTCCTCTTCACCTTTTCTTTACTTGGATATATCCCAACCCTTGTGTGGACGCTAGCATTTTCTTATCAGCTTCTGGTATGCTCTTCTGGCTACCTTATGCATAGGTTCTACTTGGGTATAGTCTGCAGTACATACCTTTCTAATCCACCCATACGCATAGGTTCCACTTGGGTACAGTCTCCAGTACCTGCCTTTCTAAATCCACCCATACCCATAGGTTTTTGCTACTAAGACTGTCATTGCAACACTGGTTACAGAATAGCCGTGATACAAAATTGCAAAGTTACAACATTTTCTAATATACAAAACCCCACTATTGATTTATATATTTCTCAAACATAATAATTTCTACTATTTTATATAATTGTTTTATCATAAAGGCTTTGCCCTTTTACAACAAGCTGATAACACTGATGGTTTTAGTTGTTGCTAAGTAATGTTTACTCTGACCAAGGACTTTGTGAGTCTTATGCTCACTAGATGATATAATATGAAAAAATTCTTCAATGTTGTCAAGCATCAGAACAGGCTGCTCATGGTTCAGTAGCCATCCCTGGAGTTGTTCAAAAGATGTGTAGCTGTGGTGCTTAGAGACATAGGTGAACTTGGTAGCGTCAGGGTTACAGTTGGACTTGATCATAGTGTCTTTTCCAACTTAAATGATTGTACCAGTCCATGTTTTTAGTGGGACTAAAGGTGAATATATTTAACAATTCCCAAATTGTCTGAGAAGCTGTAACACTTGAACTGCTAAAATGAACTGTCAAAATATTATTCTCCTGGTTAATGCAGGTCTTATCTATCATGCATCAGTGTTTGAAGGTTCACTACAATCTTGTATATATCATTGATTCTCCAAAGATTAGAAGATGTATTTTTGGCAGCAATGTTTTTTGTGTCAATGATCTCTGAAGGTTAATTATTTGTAGAAATTACAGTGATTTATTCTGGGCCTGGTTCCACCACTTGTCTTCCTACAGAGTTGAAGTCTGACAGAAGTCCTAATAAATCAGTGAAGTCACCCATAAAAAACACAGTATTCACCTGGAGTGAGAATAGAAAAATCAAGTCTTCTGCTGTCAAAATCCCTTACGTCTTTTTGGATCTTACCCATACATGTTGCCTAGCTGTTCAATAGTGGCACTTTCTACTGAAGATTCTACAAATCATTTATAGCACAGTCAGATGTGATTATTTATGAATGTTACGAATTACAAATACTAAAGCTACTTCTAGCCTTCCTTATCAGAAAGAGCTATTTCAGCAGTACGAAGAAAGGCATTTTGAGGCATGTTGTTTTCAGTCCCTGTGAAATGCTTGCATCGTATTAGGAGTCCCTTTAAGGAAATGATATGTAAAAAAGGGAAAAGCAATAACTGTCTATTGTATTTCTGTTAATATAGTGTCAGCCTTAAATAGAGTGGAAAGAGCACTAACTGTTCTGGACAGAAGTTGAACAGCAGAAAACTTGCAAAAAGAAATTACTCTATGCATTGTGTTTTGTTGTTACTTTGTTGGGCTTTTTTTTTTTAAATCTAGGTATTTCGGATTTATTTTCTCATTCCTTTAGATTCAACAGAGTAATTTAATTGCTGTCTCAATGGTGTTATTAAACCCTGGATATCTAACATTACCAGGAAGCACTAGGCAACAAGGACCATTTTTGGGCCCCAACACACATGCTGAAGCCTGTCATCTGGAAGCGCAGGTTAGAATTTTGGGCTTCATGAACTCCTTGAGTAGTAGCAACTTTGTGTTTTGAAAAAGAGTATCTGTGTACAGGACAGGAAATATATTAGATAAATTATTTGCAGTGTGAATTCAGAGACAGGAAAGTATTACACAAATGTTTTGAATAATGGATACATGTGCATATATGCATCTATTCTCTCATGTATGTGTAAATAATCATAAAATTCCCACTTCTGTTTTTTTTACAGTTGTGGAGACAGTGTTCTCACAGGAGAATGCATAATTAGTACATAAACTCTGAATAATCCTGAAAGATACAGCAAAGCCAAGAGAGGCCCGAGGAAGCTTAAGCAAGCAAGATAAGAAGAAGCTGGAATTCACTGAGTTAATGAGAACTGTGGACTGTTGGCAAGCTTTCAAGGTCAAGTTCTCACACCTGTGTTTAACCAATTATCTGTTAGTCACTAAGGGTCTTCAAGACATGTATCCAATCATAATATGCCAAATCACTGTAAGTAAGAAATAGTATATAAGGAGTTAAAGCTTTGTAATAAATTTGGCAATGGCTTGATCACATTGATCATCTCTGCGTTCTCCATGACTCCCACGTCAACATACAGTAATCTCTGAATTTAGCTCTTTATATGCTGATGGAAATTTCCAACAGACATTTTTATTGCATTATGGTTTATACGTGTACCTGTTAAACCTCATCAGTCTGGTGCGATTGATTAGCACAGAATTGGTTTTCTCTTTTAAGTCTTCCTCTAGATCACAATACTGAATCAACCCAGTGATAAAGCTTCACTATCTCATTAAGTTCTAATTATAGCAGTTTCATTTAATTTTCAGTAAGGTCAGTAAGATTCTGAACTTACCTACTTCATTTCCAGTCTTCCCAGTTTAATAGGAGTCTTCCACAGGTTTCCAGTTTGAACTGTTTCTTACCGGAGAGTCATTTTCATAGCAAGAGAACTTACATGCTCAGAAGTCATGAGAGAAAGCGTTATCCCCTCTGATCCACTTACAGAGTCTTTCTCCCAATTTCTCAAGTAAGTTCAGCTATTTTTATCAGCATACATAATGCTTAACGTACTGGTATCATGAAGTCAGCAAATGAATTGTGGGTTGAAAAATTAAGTAGAAGATATCTGGGAAATTTTATCCTCGTAATACTTGAACAATAAAAGAAAGCAGAAAGATCTTTCCATTTTCTGGAAACACTGCCTTTCTGGATCATGGATAAGTAAGATCCTCATTGAAGAAATTCTATCTCTATTCTCCCTCAAACATTCATTGACATACAAGAATGCAGAGCTACTGCTAAACCTCAGGACATAAAGTTTGTATGAACACTAAGTGCTAAGAATCCAAACTGAGAGGAACTCTTTTGTATTAGGACTGAGTTTCTCATCAAAATAGCACATCTGCTTCTGATACAGCCACATTCATTATGATGCAGACCAGAACAACAGAAGTCCTATAGGTAGTACTGAAGGAAGAACAAGTGTAACTTGCTCAGTAAGTTAAAGCTTGGAAAATATTCCTAAGTCAGAGTCTTCTGACAGTCCATTATTTGAAACTAAGATAGCTTTCTGGCTATAGAGATCACCAGAAAGATCACCAGAACTTGAAAAGGCATCCTTATGGGACCTTATTAACTTTAGTGTCAAATTCTAATGCCTGCCATGTAGATATTCACAAGTTGAAAATCATCCTATGTGCCCATCAGAGTCAAAGCAGTATATGTATCCACAGCAAACATGACTTCTTTTAGCAACTTGATTTTGTTATTTCAGTATTGATGTCAAGCACAATTTGAGATCCCCTAGGATATTTTTGACATCCACACAGTGCTTGCAGATAAACAGGACAAACTGACTTTCTAAACTGGCAACTAAAACTCAGGTGGGATATCATAGGAGTGCATTTAATGTTGGTAGACACCTATAAGGAGATAATTGAATTATCTTGAGGTATCTATAGGAGGATGAATAACAGTCTTTCAACAGCAGCTCTTCTAAGGGACAGTGAAAGGGAGCCTGTTGTGATCAGCTCAAGTAAAAATGTTTGCCGTGTAGATGTCTACATCTGATTGGTAAATTGCATCCTGGTTTACTCTGAAGGGAGATTGTGACTACTATGAAATAAAATGCATAATACAGAAGGAAACATACAAGTCTAAGAATCAAATACATCTGAGAGTAGAAGAATTATGTTTAAGTATCTATAAGCTTGTTAGGTATTTAAGCCCCTAATACAGTTGATGAACATCTAATGAATCAAGTACAGTTCAGACAGTCAAAGGAATTATTTAGTTCACTTTGAAATATACACCTAAATCATTCCTCCCTTCCCTAAGTGTTTGCACTTAGAGCTGTTTAAGTGTCATTCTAGACATCTGCTTACCTGATGAATATAACACAGGTTTTAACAGAAGACTATCGTGCTTCTGGAGCTAGATTTGAAAGCCATAACATACACCCCTCTGGAATAAATTCTAACACTAAATGCTTACATTCATACAATGGCATTCCACCTACAGCTAACTGTACTGGCAGTCACAGAATTCTGCTGAGACAGACTGTTACTCCAAGATAGTTGTAATTTACCACTTAATTCTTTGTAAATTTTCAAAATATATAGCTTCTAATTTTATTTCACATTTAACATCTAAGGCTTTTAAACACATGACAACATCAGAAGATAAAACTGATAAAGGCTCCAGAGTTTCATTGATACTTTGATTGCAAATTAAAGCGATAAAACTTCCTCATTATTAATAATAAGGATAGTAATAGTAGTAGCAGTAGTAGTAGCAATGGTACCATAACTCAATTCTTCAGCTGGATTAAATAAAAAGGCTCAAAAATATCCTTCTGATGTCTTTAAAGGCCGTAGTCCTTTGCACCTGTCTTTTTTTGCAGTGGATGAATTGAACAAACTGCTGCGCCTTGACTAGCTTTATTGCTCATCTGTTGACGCGGGAGTCACGGACAACGCAGAGATGATCAATGTGATCAAGTGATTGCCAAATGTATTACAAAGCCTCAACTCCTTATATACTATTTCATACATGCACTTACAGTGATTTGGCATATTACGATTGGATACATGTCTTGAAGACCCTTAGTGACTAACAGATAATTGGTTAAACACAGGTGTGAGAACTTGACCTTGAAAGCTTGCCAACAGTCCACAGTTCTCATTAATTCAGTGAATTCCAGCTTCTTCTTATCTTGCTTGCTTAAGCTTCCTCGGGCCTCTCATGGCTTTGCTGTATCTTTCAGGATTATTCAGAGTTTATGTACTACTTATGCATTCTCCTGTGAGAACACTGTCTCCACACTCATCCACTGCCTATTTTATCTGGAAATTACTTTAAGCTGTGCATGCACTTAATGAAGAATCAATATGTCTATCCTTCAGTAATTTTATCCTTTTAGTCAAGATCTATAAAGCTTACCTGTAAGGATGCCTATATGACACCCATCCTCCCTGCTTTCCAGACACTCACTTTTCAAAGTTAATAGCTTGTATTAACAGACACTAAATTATAAGCAACTAAGTGCAACATTTACACCTTTCACACAAACATAAAAGTTTTTAAATTATCTTGTATTGCATTGTAACAACACTGCAAAAAACAATTAATATGAATACTTTTATTTAAAAGTTGTTTAAATCTTTCGTCCATTTTCTTTTATTGTAAACAAGCTAAAATATACAAAATGGTTTACTACCTTTGATCTACAGACTTACTGAGGACCTAGCAGGTTACACCAGGTAAATTTAATGCAAACTGTATAGACAAATGACAGTTCTAGCAGAATCAACTGTTTTTTTATGGGCACAGTATGTACAGATTTTTGTTCTTTTTATATAGATTTATACGGTTTTCTTTGTGTTGTATTTTTTTTTGTTTAATTGTTTTTAGCACTCATGATAAAATTCTAGGTCCTTTTGCTGGTTTATAAATAAATGCTCAAGGTAGTCTGAAACTTTAAATGTTATAAACACTTCTCAACTGCAATTTCTGTTGATTTCAGTGTTTTTTTACCAATAGCTGTCAAAATGCTCTCCAAGAAGCAAAGTAGATTAAGAACATTACTTATTTTCATTTGGCAATTACCTTAGCTGACATACCTTGTCTTCTCAGGTACAGCCAGGAGTCAAATTAAACACAGATCAAAATACACTTTCTTATTAGGCTTATCATTGTCCATGCTAAGCTTAAAGCTTCTTAAATCAGTCTTAGGGATTTTGGCATAGAATGGGTATCTCAAGAAAAATACTCTACTTCAAACATTGGAAGACAAGAAATGTTGTGATGTTACCTGAAAGTAGATAGAGCTCCATCTTACAATGGCTGCTTGCAAATTATGTCACCCTCATATTAATTCTTACCATCTTTATTTCCCTGACTATGGGAAAGACATTATGCAGACTCAATAACGTGGTTAAAACCCAGAAGAGAGACAGCTTTACCATATCCATCACCATGCACTATCTGATTACATTAGTCAACCTACCTGCACCTACCTGCTATGGGATCTTAGGAGTTCTGCCAATGAGCAGTACAATAAAATAAGTGCATGTTTGTGACTTCAGGAGCTGTAGCTGGTATTATGAGTAAAGCAGTCTTCCCTGATAGCACAAATCTCTGTCACATCTTAATGGTATACAGCTTTTAGAAAATAATTTTTCAGATTGTACACAACCCTGGGCCATACCTGCTATGTTGTTTGTACAGTTATCAATCATATGTCACTAAATTATGCATTTTTATTTTCAGAGCAAACTGGTCATGCTGTCAAACGCATGCACTGATAGTAAGTACTGCTACAAAATGTGTAAGGAAAGTACCATTTTTGGAAGAAATGATGTTAGAATGTTAATTTGTCACCAGTTGTCATAACAAAGTCAGGAAAGAACACTAGTAAACAGTACTTTATGTAATCTACATGGACAGAAGCAGACATGTGCATGCTCATCCTATTTAAAAATCTGGTTATATGGATTGCAGGGGGGGTTGGGACTAGATGATCTTAAGGTACATTCCAACCCTAACTATCCCATGATCCTATGATATTAGAGATCTTTCCCTGTGCAGGCGTGTTCCCATTTTAAGTGCTACAGCCAGTAGTTTAAACATCTCTGTGTAACTGTTTATGTCCTTTTAAACAGAAAAACCTTTCATACTGGTGAAGTCTGCTCTGGTGGCTGTTATTGCAGTCCTTTACAGAGCAAGCGGATGCTGCACTTCCTAGTCCTGACAACTGATTTACAAGGTTAGTTTTACCTTCCACCCTCAAATGTACCAGAGGTGGTGAAAGGGACTGTCCCACACCTTCCATTGAGCATGTTCAGCAGTGGCAATGGCCAGTCTATAGGTTTGGGTCTAGACAGTATGTAGAACAGTACAAATCTGTTTGCTGAGATCAAGTAGCACAGTATGAAGCTTATGAAACATTTGTTTAGGATGTAGAGTGATTTTGTAATCAATTACACCAGCTGTTTGAACCTCCTGATTATTCTCAGCTCCATCTTGAAGCTGTCGTGCATAATTCTTTGTATTCCTTCACCATTAACTAAAACAACGAACACGGCAAAATTTTTAGGCTGTGTCAGTACTCTCCTACAAAGTAGAAGTGAGCTGTGTTTTATTCAGACTTTCTAATTTACTATCAATACTGTAAAAGTCAACAGGGATGGGGTATGCAGACTCTTATGTCTATCCCCTGTTCCAAGATCATAGACAAAAATGATGCTATTCAATCAATCTAAATAACAGCAACAACCTCTGTTTTGCTGGAAGTAAAAGAGCTCACAGCAGAAGGGGATCTGACAAATACAGAATCATTTAGCAGAGCAAAAGAGTTACAAGACAAACTGGGATGGTCTGTGCATGTGTGAGATCACACTGAGTAACATACACTTGTTTAAGGATCTACATTTTAATACATGCATCATCCCTCTATCCAAAGGGAAAATAGTATGAGGGATTTTTAAGCCAAAGAACAGTTCTAGGTATCTTAAGACTTTTTTCCTCCTTTCACATGATGAAGATTATTACCATGTTAAGGATGTCAAAAGTGTTATTAAAGCAAGAAACTTTTGGAAGTTTTTTTTATATGAGGTATCAGAATTGTCATAGCTTTATCAATGAAACAGTATCCTTTTGGACACCTCTGGACATTTTCAGTTATTTTTGAGAATCTTAATATCCTGATGGTCTAACCTGAGTTAGTCAAAGCAAAGGTATACTTGCCCCATGAGCCTTTCCCCTGCCCCCATGCTTCCTATGATAATAAACAGCAAGCTGTCGTTTCCCTTGTCGAGCTCTTACGCTTGAAACCTCCCATACCCTCTGCACACACAGTGATGAAGAGCAAGCCGCCTGTGAGTACCCGCTGTCCCTGGAAACTCAAGAAGGCTCTGGGACAGGGTTACAGGGCTGAAATTTATAAAGATCACCATGTATACATGGAGCCAGAAGAAGGCGGTGAGGCACTGTAAAAGGTTACCTAAAGACTTGATAATCGTAGAATCATA